CCTTAACAACTGAGCCACCCAGGTGCCCCTGTAATATTTTTATATTTTTATTTTTTATTTTCATTTTGTTTAAATTTTAGTGAACGTAGAGTGCAGTATCAGTTTCTGGAGTAGAATTCAGTGCGTCATCACTTACAACACCCAGTGTTCATCACAACAAGTGCCCTCCTTAATACCCATCCCCCATCTAGCCCATCCCCTACCCACCTCCTTCCATCAACCCTCAGCTTGTTCTCTACCATTAAGAATCTCTTATGGCTTGTTTCCCTCTCCCTTTTTCTTTTCCCCCTTCCCATATGTTCATCTGTTTTCTTTCTTAAATTCCACATATGAGTGAGATCATATGATATTTGTCTTTCTCTGACTTTTTTCACTTAGCATAGTATACTGTAGCTCCATCCATGTCATTGCAAATGGCAAGATTTCATTCTTTTTAATGGCTGTCAATTGTTTATCATGTATTGTCTATTGTTTATTGTCTGTATCTTGCTTTTTGAAATGTCTGCTTAAGTCTTTTGCCAATGTTAATGGTTTGTCTTTCTGTTGTTGAGTTGTAGTTTTTTTAATCTGGATGAAAGGATTTGGCTGATAAATACTGTTTGCATATTTTCTCTCAGTATGTGGCTTTCCTATTAATATTTGAAATTTTGACTTATGAATAAAAATAGTCTTTATGAAGCGTAATTATCATCATTTTTTCTGTATGGTAATTGCTGTGTCCTGAGAAATCTTTGCCTACACAACATCATAAATATGGTCTCCAGTGTTTTCTCCAGAAGTCTTTAGTTTAGCTTTAGTGTTGAAGACTATGAGCTATCTTGATTTTCATCTGTAGTGTATGATACTGGCCAGCATTCATTTTTCTCATATGGATATCCACTTACTTCAAAACCACTTGTCAAAAAAACTTTTTTCCCGTAGGATTGGCTTTGTACCTTTACTAGAAATCACTTTTGCATATAAATGGGGGTATATCTCTTGGGTTTATATTTAATTCCATACCATTCTGATTAGAGTAAGTCCATTCTGATTGGAATGGAAGGCCTTCTAGCTTTGTTCTTTTCTGTGATTGTTTTGGATATAGGAAGTCCCTTTGCATTTCTATAATTTTTAGGTAAAGCTTATTAATTTATGATTGATTGCATTGAATCTATAAATTTAAGGAGAACATTAACCAATTTTGTGTCTTCCGATATATGAACATGGGGTATCTCCCCATTTATTTTGGTCTTTTAAAATATCAAATTCTGTAGAAAAAATTTTAGTGTACAGATCTTCCATGTTTTGTTAAAATTATTCCTAAGTATTTCATGTTTCTTTTTTTTTAAAGATTTTATTTGAGAGAGAGAATGAGAGATAGCACGAGAGGGAAGAGGGTCAGAGGGAGAAGCAGACTCCCTGCTGAGCAGGAAGCCCGATGTGGGACTCGATCCCGGGACTCCAGGATCATGACCTGAGCCAAAGGCAGTCGCTTAACCAACTGAGCCACCCAGGCGCTCTTCATGTTTCTTTAATGACACTTTCAGTGGTTGTGATTTTTTTGTATGTATTGCTGGACTCTGTACTAAATTATTTTTTATGAATTTTTGCCTATGTTCACGAGGAATTTTTTTTCCCCTGTTTTGGAATGTCCTTGGTTTTGTATCAAGGTAATGCTTGCCTTAAATAAGTTGAGAATGAAAAAAAAAGAAAGATAAAAGGTAAGTAAGGAATAGATGCCCCAGTAGCCAAGGAAGAGAATTCCCTAACGGGTAAAAATATATTAATTGTATGGACAGACAATTTCTAAAACGAATTTTCTAAGTTCTAAAATACTTTTCCTATTAAATATGGTCAGGGTAGTCCAAGTCTTTGCTTAGAAATAATTTCATGTTCAGAAAATCACTGATTAGTGGCTACAAATTTTGTGATAGTTACCTACAAATATAAAGAATCAAGCATCAGTGAGAGAGTAAGCATTAGCAATTTCTGTAATGTGCTGAGGAGGTTGTTGATCAAGTTTCTTTCCTTGTGTTGACTGTTAAGAAAAGTCAGAGCCAGATTTGTGTCCCATATCTGTTCAAGTACAGTACAGCATAATTAGTTTTATAACTCTATCTCTGGCTTCCTCTTTTCCATTCCTTCATTTATTTTAACTCACATTTCTGTTAAAAAAAATAATAATTTGTATAATACAAGCCATTTTAGCTGATGCACTTGGCACCATTACTGGGAAGTTAAATTTTAAAAGTTGGTTGAAATAGAATAAAAATATATAAATAGGCTCCATCTTAATTAGCTTTTAAACATTTTAAGTTAAAATGTTCAGTGACATTTTGAACTTTAGATTGTATTCTATTAACTTTTTAAATTTAGTATTTTAACTGAAAACAGGTATGTATTTATTCACAATTTTTTGTTACATGAGACCAGAGTCATCTTTGTATATGGTTTTATGATTTTATATGATTCTGATTTTTCTCTGAAGAAAACATTGGGGACTATCTAAGCTTTCTAACCAGTTTTTTTTTTTTTTAATATGGAGCAAAGTTTATAAAAACACTTGGAAAAATTGCACAATCCTAGATATTTCAACATTCTGCCACCACCCAGATTTCAGTGGTTCACGTATATTTTCAACACTTTTTTTTTCCTAGTGACTTCTATTTGTTGACTTAAGAATTCAACCAAGTTTTTGTATTTGCTTTGAAAAGTATTTATGAAAATTTTCAAATGGAAAGTACAGAAATAAAACACTTGTGTACATGCCTTCAATTTAATCTTCCATAAATCTCTTTTTAAAAAGTTTCCTTCCTCCTTAGAAGTATGTATGCCACAAATTTGGTATTTCTTACTCATGTATATATTAGCATGATTCATATTTTATCTCTAAACCATGTACGCTATTTTGTGTGTTTATTTTTTTTTTAAAGATTTTATTTATTTGACAGACACACAGCGAGAGAGGGAACACAAGTAGGGGGAGTGGGAGAGGGAGAAGCAGGCTTCCCGCAGAGCAGGGAGCCCAATGTGGGGGGTCCTGGGATCATGACCTAAGCCAAAGGCAGACGCTTAACTGACTGAGCCACCCAGGCACACCTATTTTGTGTTTTTAAAATTTTACATAAATGTATCCTTTTACAACTTTTTCTCTTAAGATTATCTTTAAGATTTGTCTGTGGTGATTCATATAATTTGAGTGCCTGCTGAGTAACCCATGGTTTCTCATCCTTAAAATTAGACAATTTCCAACTTTTCACTGTAAAGACAATAAATGCTCGAAGTCCTTTATATATATAATGCACAAAAATCCTTGTCCTCTTTTCGGACATATATTTTTTTTTTTTGGCAAATACCTAAAGCTGAAAGTGCAAGGTCCTGGGATGTGGACTTGTTTAATTTTATGAGAAATTGCCAAAAACACTCTAAAGCAGTTGCAGTTTACGTTCCTACCAATGTATAAGGAGCATGTAAGAGCTGGCCACATTTTAACCAGCACTAGGTTATCAGATTTTTAAAATTTTGCTAAGCAAATGTTTGAGAAATGGTATTTATTTGCCTTTTTTGATAACTATAAAGGTTGAACATCTTTGCATGCATTTATTGACTATTTCTCTTCCTCTGTGAATTGCCTCTCTATATTTGCTTTTTTTTTTTTTTTTTTTTGAGTTTATTTGGGAGAGAGCACCAGCAGGGGGAGGGGCAGAGGGAGAGGGAGAAGCAGACTCCCCACTGAGAGGGAGCCCAATGCAAGGCTGGATCCCAGGACCCTGGGATCATGACCTGAGTGAAAGGCAGACGTTAATCAGTTGAGCCACCGAGGTGCCCCTATTTGCTTAGTTTTCTAATGGGTTCTTTGTCATTTTCTAATTGATTTGTAGATGTCAGAATTCTTTATGTATATTTGGGATAATAATCCTAACCATACCTTTCAAGTGTGGCTGTTTTTCCTCCTTTAGAGTTCTAAGGAAATGTTTAATTTTGACATATAATCAAATGTGTCCATCTTTTCCTTTGATATGTGCTTTCTTGTTTGAGAAATTCTCTATCCCAATGTCGCAAAGTCTTCTAGGTTTTCTTATAAACATTAGTACAGTTTTTCTTGTTTAATTCTTTAATCCATCTGGAGTTGATTTTTGTTTGTGAGAAAGAGATCTTAGTCTGTCTTTTTCGATGTGGTTAGCTAGTTATCCCCTAATCTTTTATTAAATCTTTTCCCCATTAATGTGCACTACCCACTGATTTTATAAAATCACATGTCCTATACTGCACCAAGCCATATATCTTGGATCTATACTATACTATATTTGTCTATACTAAATACCACACTGTTTTAATTACAACAGCTTTATAGCAAATATCCTACTTTGTTTTCCTTCAAGACTATCTTGACTTTAGTGGATTTTTACTCTTCCATGTAAACTAAATGCTAAATTCCAAGGGGGAATGGGTGGAATACCTTCTGGGATTTGATTGGAATAGTACTGAATTTATAGATAAATTCCCAGAGAATTTATATACCTCGGTAAGATTTCCCATGAATAATTTCTACATTTATTTAGGATACCTTTTTTGTATTTCTGTTTGATGATTTTCTCCATAAAAGTCTTGCATGTCTTCTGTAGGATTTATTTTGTAAGGTCTCTTAATGTTTTAGGTTTCTAGCATCATTGTTGAATTATCATTAGTTTTAATAGTTTGCTGAACCTTTTGTATTTTCTGTGTAGATGTTTATATCATCTTTGAGTAATACTTCTCAATCCCAATACCTTTTAATACAATATTAAGTGGAAGCTTTACTATAGTGTTAAATAGCAAGTATTCGTTTGTAGTTCTAACTTTACAGAGAATGCTTCTAATGTTTTATTAAATAATGTTTATTGTAAGCTTTTGGTAAATGTCTTTCTATTCCTCGCATGCTAAGAGTTTCTTTTAAATAGAATTTGAATTTTATAAAATGCTTTTTCAGTTTCCCAGATAAAAAGTTTGCAGCACAAATCTGACTTCAGTGTTTTCTCTAGGGTGATCAGCACATGACCTACTAGAGAGATCCCTAGACAAAATCAAACAAGGGAAATTTGCTGGAATCTAGAGTGATGGATCCATGTTCAGTTGGAGTCCAGCTTCGTACCACAAATGAGTGCCATAAAACCTACTACACTCGTCACACTGGTTTCAAGACTTTGCAAGAATTGTCATCAAATGATATGCTTTTACTTCAACTTAGAACTGGAATGACACTTTCTGGGAACAATACCATTTGCTTCCATCATGCAAAAATTTACATTGACAGATTTGAGGATTTGCAGAAGTCATGTTGTGACCCATTTAACATACACAAAAAACTAGCCAAAAAAAATTTGCATGTAATTGACTTAGATGATGCCACTTTTCTGAGTGCAAAATTTGGAAGACAGCTTGTACCTGGTTGGAAACTTTGCCCAAAATGTACACAGATAATCAATGGAAGTGTGGATGTTGATTCTGAAGACCGGCAGAGAAGAAAACCTGATTCAGATGTATGTATAGCAGTCATTTTTTTCTTCTGTGTCCTTCTACAATGTGAGGTTTTGTTGAACTATAAAGAAATCATATTTACGTTATTTATTATGCTAATTGTGAATTAAAGTTGGAGAGATGAAAATAAATGGTGTTTCTAAATATTTCTGGATGATAAAGTGTGCTTGAGAAAGGAATAACATACTATGTCCAAGACTCAAGCTGTAACTCCTAGGGCTAAGATGTTGGGAGTGGCTTTCAGAACATTCTGGTAAAGCCAGGACTTAATTGTTATCTTAGTTTCTTTTCTAATACCAAAGTAACTCTGTGAGACCTGCCCACCAGTGAGTATCTTTATACCAAAATGAATTCCCCTTTCTTTTGAAGGACTTAAAAATGACTGCTTTAAAACGAACACCAGAGAAATGACTTGCAATGATTGTTTCTTCAGCCTTTCTTTCTCCTTTGTCACTAATACCATTCTTGTTTGGGTTTTTTAGATGCTTGTGAGTTTCCTTTGCTTCTAGCTCTGAGTTCTTATTTGGTATGATCCAGCTAATTTAAGAACTCCCTGTGGTCAAAAAGCATACATTTTTACATTGTAAATACTAAATATTTATAACTCCCTTATTCACATGCCTACATTCATATTATTTAACTATATCAGAAAAAAGATTTCATAAAGCTGTCTTTGGTGTAGAACAAAGACAAGTGTATCAAAGGAGCACTTCTCAAAATTTCTATTTATAACCAATTTATAATTCTTGCTGCTGGGATATTTTTCTCAATTTCTTCCTTTTCATTATATTAATAAACAAATTAAAAGATAATTAAAATTTTAAATTATATGTAGTGCTTCCCTTTTGTTCTCCCCTTAGAGGCATATCTCCAGGACCCACTGTTCTCTTGCAGTTCATACTAGGTACTTGCTGCTGTCACTTAGATGTTTTCTCCATTTCATTTATTTGTTGCTCTCGTGGAATATATCACATAAACTGCTTTTTCCCCAGATAATGAACTTAAATCCTTAACCATCGAAATTTTCTTTTACCAAAGCTTTTTAAAAAGATGATAATACTATTTCAGAACTTAAAACCATATTACCTCCCTGCTTTTAAAAATATATATAATAGAACCTTTCCTTCAGGACTCAAGATCATATTAGGAACATCAGTTTTGTTTTTAAAGATTTAATATTTTTTTTAAGTAATCTCCACACCCAACATAGGGCTCGAACTCATAACCCCAAGATCATGAGTCACAGACTCCACCGCCAGGTGCCCCAGGAATCTCAGCATTATGCCATTGGGTTATACAACAGTTTTTCTGCCATCTTAGCAGCAGCCATTGCATTTTTACCATGCTTGTTGCCCCTCCTGATATGCCAGAGACTAAAATTAGGTAATGAAAATATTACAACTAAATTAACCCATAACTCTAAAACCTTTTTCTTTTTTGTGAATTCCAGACCATCCTTCAGGTTAAGGAATAATCTGGATTAACATTAAGTTAAATATTAATCTGTTCATGGTCTTTTGTCAAGATTTGAGTTGATAATTTGTTTACCTTTTTTCAGGGAAGAACTGCTAAAGCTTTGAGGTCATTGCAATTTACAAACCCAGGAAAGCAAACTGAATTTGCTCCAGAAACTGGTAAAAGAGAAAAAAGAAGGCTCACAAAAAATGCAACCGCTGGTTCTGACAGGTAGGCTGTGTGTTCACTTAAGACTTGTATTAACTTGCTGCTTCACATCTGTATTGTTTTCACTATCTTAAGTTTTGAATTTTCTGGGTAGATATTTTAAATTGGATGATCTGGGATTAGTAAGAATCTCCAAGGACTGCATATATAATGAAGGCATTCCTTTCAACTCTAAAAATTTATTTCTAAGAAAGTGTCAGTGAAGTGAACAAGTTAACATTTTTGGCATGAGAATTAAACATACTTAAAACAATTTTTTAAAACATTGGTATTATATAATTGGTATGTCATTCCTCTATGGGTGGCATCCAAAAAGTCAGTCTTAGAGGAATTCAAGGTTGCTTTTTATCTTTTTACATGTCTAAAATAGAAACAGTTACGGTACAGTCAACAGAATGAATGAGAAAACTAAATTGTTTAGAATATGACTTTTTAAATTGAACATTTCTAAAGCACAGGTTGACAAAGAAATGTTAGTATAATCATTCAGAATTATTTTCTACAATTGCCATTTATGCCATTTATTCCATCTGTTAAGGTTTCCATTGAGTCATTTAATTGTTTTTAAGCCAGATTTGCTAGAGTCCATTAAAGAACAAGAAACATTAATTGCAGTATAAAAACCAATAGGGTAGTAGAAAGAGATTGGTAACCAACAAAATGTACCACTATTAAGCTGCTATTCTCTGTTGTTGCTGTTAAGGTAAAGGGAAAATATTTTAAACAGAAATATATTTTTTGGAAATAGTAAAGGAATGGACTGAGTTGACTTTTAAATGGACTTCTAGAGGCATATTCAGGCCTTTTGGATTTGTCTCCACACTTTAGAATGAGTCTCTTCTCACAGAGCTCATTTACTACTAATTAGGCTTGAGTCTGGTAAGTTATGTACCAGTTTTGCAGGACGTCATCCCTAATTCAAAATATTACACCTCCTTAAATTTGTTTTCATTGCCTTATTTTCAATAACATATTCAAAAATCACGTGCTTGTGAGGTGTAATTCGTCTTGTGTTTTATTTTACAGACAAGTGATACCAGCGAAGAGTAAGGTCTATGATAGCCAGGGTCTCCTGATTTTCAGTGGAATGGACCTTTGTGACTGCCTTGATGAAGACTGTTTAGGATGTTTCTATGCTTGTCCTGCCTGTGGTTCCACCAAATGTGGAGCTGAATGCCGCTGTGACCGCAAGTGGCTGTATGAGCAAATCGAAATCGAAGGAGGAGAAATCATTCATAACAAACACGCTGGATAATTTGTGGTATCAGATTATGGGCTCTTTAAATATCCCTTCTCTATTTCTAAAACTCTGTCACCCTAAGATACATTTTAAAGTTGACTGCCAAATGACAAGAATTTGAAAACCACCTCAGCATGCACTCACTCTGCACTAATGTTGCATTTAGGGTGCTTTAAGATTCATTATCTGATGTAAATTAAGATGAGCTGTTCCTCAGCAGTCAGCTTTGAGCCTGTCCGGGTCAATGTCAACAAGTAGGCAAAGGCAGTCCTCCATTAGCACAGCTCAAATTTCAGTTACCATGGTCTATACTGTGAGCAGTTAGGTGAAGTACAAACTTCCCTGCTAGCCCTTTGGTCCACAAATCATTATGTAGCAGACATGCTTCATCATCACTGACCAATCACAGTACTTCTCTCAGATTCTGCTAGTGATTGGTTACTGCACATCTGTCATTCAGTTCGCTCCCAGACAGCAAAGCATGTGGTTGTATTGTCTCCTTGTCACCCATGTGACATTTTACAAAAGTAGATCATCAAAAGAACTGGCCAACAAAGATAAAAGTGAATGAAGAAAGGAAAAACGGTAATGCTAGACGTGAGATTTGAACTGAACGTAAGTGGAGTTGTGGAAGAAATCCCCAATGGGAATGTTGGCACTGCTGCGAGCCTCAGTACACAACTAGGGGAGCCTTGTGGAGGCAAGCGTTAGGGAAACTGGTTGTGACGAGAAGGTTGAGTAGGTCCCAGAGGAAGTGATGGTAAAAACTTCACACTAAAGGAAATTAGAGTTATTTTACAACATTGAAAGTACGAATGATAAAATGGAGGAAGCTGATCCAAACTTGAGTATGACAGTTCGCCATGGTATAGAGTGTTGCTTACTTAGTATCCTAAGTTAACAAAAAGTCAAGCACTGTTCAAACCCCTTATGGTTAGTTTTTTACAGTGGAATAACACTTTCTCAGTGTTTCTAATGTTTTAAATTACAGTGTACTAACATACTTTTTTACAATGTTTTTGTTTTGTTTATAACACCGAGTTTTTAATATTTTGACAGATTTTTAAAGGTCACAGAACATTTTCCCCCATTGATTATTAAGATTGCTTTGAATGGCCATTGTTTATGGTCCTACATTACTGTGCAAGCCAAGGACTGTAGCTGAGAACAGTGCCCACCTACTTCAGGAAAAATTGATTTTGATAAAACTAGGTGGTTGAGTGTTAAAAGTATTTTGGAAATAATCTGCGTATCTAAATGCTAAAATTCATCTGGCGATTTACCCTTAAAAGTTTTAGTATTGTAAACCTTTCATTGTTTAGACCATACATTCTTGGTGAAAATTTGTTTTTGATGGCAAAAATCTCATTCTTTGTAGAAAGCATGGATATACATATAATACATAAACAGGGATACATTGTATCTGTGGTATTCAAGTTTTATGGGTGGTGATTAGGATTAAGAAGCCTAAAAAAGGCTTTAAGGGAGTAATAATGACAAAAAAATGTTAGAGAAACACTGATTGAGAGAGAGTATGAATTATTTGGAAATTGAATCTTGTACAGGTTTTTATGGAATTTATATGGGTGCTGTTTGGAGGATGAGAGTGGGTGATAACTGCTTTTTTAAGCAGCTACCTATTTGTCTAAAATTGTTCATCTAGGACATTGCCACTAAACTAGGTTTTTGCTTGGTTTTCCCTAAATTAGAGTACTTTGGTTTAATCAGATGAGCTTTTAGCAGTTTGAAATATTTTTTAGCTATTGAAATGAAATTTATACAACCAGTTTGATTCAATTGACCAGTAGAGGTTTATTTTTACTCCTGTATACTTCTGGTACCTGTTTAACAGGTTTTACTTTGATGGAATGCCATTTTGAACCATGAAATTGTCATTAAATTACATTTGTCACTGACCTAGTTATCAGAAGTATGGTTAGTATCATACTTTTTTTTTTTTAAAGATTGATTTATTTATTTGACAGAGCAGGAACAGAAGCAGAGGGAGTGGGAGAGGGAGAAGCAGGCTTCCAGCCGAGCAGGGAGCCCGATGCGGGGCTCGATCCCAGGACCCTGGGATCATGACCTGAGCTGAAGGCAGTTACTTAACGACTTAGCCAGCCAGGCGCCCCAGTATCAGTTCTTTTCTTCTTTTTTTTTTTTTTTGACAGAGAGAGAGTTAGTGAGAGCAGGAACACAAGCAGGGGGCTTGAGAGAGGGAGAAGCAGGCTTCCCGCCGAGCAGGGAGCCCGATGTGGGACTCGATCCCAGGACCCCGGGATCACGACCTGAGTCGAAGGCAGACGCTTAACAACTGAGCCACCCAGGCGCCCCATAAACTGTTCCAGTATCAGTTCTTTAATTCACATTTCAACAGAGCACTGGCAAAAAGAATATTTTGGCTTTATATACTTAAATCAGATGCTAGATTTTTTTTTGTTCCGAATTAAGGAAATATTTTGTTACAGAGGATACACAGACTTCCAATTTTATCTGAACTTCTGGGTTCATTAGACATTAGTTGCATTACTGCCAATGTTTTTGTTGGTTCTAAGTAAGTATGATTTAGTATATTGCTTAAGCTATTCGTAGGGACAAATTTAAGTCTTAGATTTTTTTTGTTTAAAACAGGAATATATTTTCAAAAGAATAAATGACTTTAAAATTCAAATTGTTTATATTTCAGCATTCCTTAGTGGAACACTTCTGTGTTTTTTTTCAAAGATGGTAATAGTTAAGTTTCAAGGGTATATTTCTTGAACAGTTTTGCTTATATTTGTTCATTATACCTGTTTCCAAAATAGGAAGCACTCACTTTTCATGAGCATGCACAATGTTTACAGAGAGAGGTATGTCTAATTTAGAGTATGCTATAATAAAAGCTGTGTTTTGGGAAAATTACATCATGAGTTCGCTTACTATTTTTTAATGTAGAATCACAGAAATACAGAATACAATTAAATCATCTAGATTCTTTTTATATTTTGCATAAATATGGTTCCAGGTGGCTAAATTATTTTAGGATACTATTAGTCTAAGAAGCAGAAATGAAAGCAATACGAACACTTCTGCCATTTATGGCTCCTGCTGGAGAAGTTAATGTAAGGCCATAAACATTGGTCTTACACAGTATTGGCCACAAACATTAAAATAAAAATGCATGTGTATATTTGAAGTAAATGGCATCCCATGTAATCTTTTTCCTATTTCTTTTACAAGTATAAGATGAAATATTATACTTGATTCTTCTATTTTTAAAATGTTATATCTACTTCTGTATAACAAGCTGTTCTCCCACCTGACAGAAAATTCTCCGGAAAAATGCTTTCATGATCTCTCAGATATTCCATGTTCAGAACCCCTAAACACATATTGCAGAGCCTAGGTAATAGGAGTATTCTGTAAACAAACAAACAAAAATGTTTGTTTTTTAATGGGGATGGCTGTCTGAAGTGTAGTTATATAAAGCGTTGTAGGTGAGTTTCGTTGGACAAAATCCGGGCGGTTCAGGTCTTTGAAAGAGGTGTTGCTGCACTGAAAAGGCAGATCCCACTGAGACCCTATCCCTCCCGGGTCAAGTAACAATGTATAAAATGGAGGGGTCTTAAAAGGACTGCACTTCGGTAATTCGAGATTTTCTGTTTACATTGCGGATACCCTGAAAGAAATAGCTTAAGGTTCTTGTACAAAGTCATGTGGCACTGCCTTAGTTTTTGGTGACATCTGCTGGTATTTTGATGTAAATAAACTCTCTGCTGCTACTCCTTAATGCTTAATCTCTTCACTTCTAAAAAACTGTGAACACCGGTAATTACATTGAACTGGGGTATTTTATTTTATTTAAGATTTTATTTATTTTTTAGAAAATGAGAGCACGAGAGGGAAGAGTGTCAGAGGGAGAAGCAGACTCCCTGCTGAGCAGGGAGCCCGATGTGGGACTCGATCCCTGGACTCCAGGATCATGACTGAGCCGAAGGCAGTTGCTTAACCAACTGAGCCACCCAGGCGCCCCTGAACTGGGGTATTTTAAAGAACCCTGGTAAAGTAGAATGGTTTCTCTTTGTAACATTCTTAGGCTTCACCCAGCAGGACTCAACCGGTTTGTTTTTTTTGGAATATGAGTGAGGATATGAAAATATGCACGGGTACTTCTGGATTTCACTTATTTTTATAAAGTGGAGAAACTTGGAAAAATAATGCATTTATCTACTTAAAAATCATCAAACACTCCATTGAACACTTAGTTTGAAAGGCATAATAAACTCCTGTAGAATATATACCCCCAACCTATAGATTATTTGTAATGGCATAGTTGTGAGGATTGACTAATTTTACCAAGATAATCTAACTTCCAGAAGATAAAGGAGATTTACCAGATAAAACATTAACTCAGTTGAGTTAGTAATACTGCCATCTTTAAGTGCAGTTTGAAAGTATTTAATTACAGCCCTATCAATGGCACTTAAACTAAATGTATTAATTTTTTTTCCCCTTAAAGCCATGAGGGAAAAATATCTTTGAGACACTTAATGATTTTGAAACTTCAATTTTCTCATTTCATATCACTGCAAGCAAACAACTGTTTTATTAAAGAGTTGCCATAATCTTCAGCTATGGTTTTAAGATAAATGGACCTATTAAAAGTAAAATGCTTACAAATGCTGCTAAAATGGCCAAAACCTTCCAATACTCCCAACTCCATCATATAATGCATGAAAACACAAAAGTTTTGGCTCATGATTTTCATTGTAAACATGCTGGATGATCCTTTTACTCAGTTCTTTTCAGAGGGACATTTTGAGGTTAGGGCACATTTTTCTTTAATGAAATAATATAAAAACTAGACATGGGTCAGAGTTGCAGGATATTTGTCCTTTTGAGAGAACTTCTGTAAAACCAAGAGTAGAAGAATATGGCCTGTAAAAGACCTGAAATGATTGAAAATGTAAATACTAGCTCTGTAAGTATCCCTTTGTTATCAACAACCAATCAGTTACATTAAACTACTTGATAAATACATATTAAGTTTTGGTTTTAATTTTATTCTGGTAGCCCAAGTTTATGATTTAGACTTCAAGGTAGTAGTTATTTTTTTTTAATTGGTGATTTAGTGGCCTAAGATAAAGTAATAGTGACAGTACTGGTACCATGTAAGTGGGTTCTACAAGGTTCTGGGTGAAGTACAAATTTTTGGCACTGAGAGGTAAAACGATTCAGGAATGTTCAATGAATTCTGGCATCATTAGGGTTACTTTTTTTTTTTTAAGAATTTATTTCGACAGAGACAGCAAAAGAGGGAACACAAGCAGAGGGAGTGGGAGAGGGAGAAGCAGGCTTCCCGCTGAGCAGGGAGCCCGATGTGGGGCTCGATCCCAGGACCCTGGGATCATGACCTGAGCCGACGGCAGACGCTTAACGACTGAGCCACCTTGGCGCCTCGTTAAGGGTTTGTAAATAACAAACTCATGCCTTCCCCAGAGGTTAGTTAACCATTTTGATTTGGACTGAACTTTCCCGTTTTTCAGTTCAGCTTAGTATAGTGAAATCAGATCA